GAGATGCTGTCAGGCTGAAAGCACGCATCCAACAGATGTGGTCGCTGTTGTCAGGCTGGACGGGACTATGCCCGCTTCCTGAGTTGATGGACTTGTTGCTTTTTGGGAAGACACATTGCGTGGCAAACAAACAGGTTGAACTTCGTTGATCAATTCACTCAGGAAGTGAGTTTCATTTCCAAGCCTGATTTCAGGAGCTCATTGGTGCAGTATATCAAGTAGCCTGGTGGTTTGGAGTCAGGGAGCCCGCTCGGGAATGTGAACCCAATGAAACCACCCCCAAATCAGCAGGCAGCTTCAAAGGGCAGGTCCCTGTTTCGACTGTGTTAGGGGATGCTGCTGGCCCATCTATCCTCGAGGGAGCCTGGCACTGTGCGTTTCCAAACATGCAATGCTGAAGATGCCGTTGCATCTGTTGTGTCTTTCCACCTGTTCCTGGTGTTTATCCTTAGCCGACTGATCAACCTACTGTTGGTACGGTGGTTTCACAAGGGACATGCAAATAGCGCTTCTTTTTGCTTCGGTTGCAACAGAGAGAAGGCTGTGGGTCAAAACCAAGCAAATCCCAATTTGGGGTTGGTGCACCAATCTTAGTGGTTGCATTCGAATGCTCACTGGGGCCACGATTTCGTTCTTGACCAGCCAGAAATGCCTGCGGCGCGAGGTCTAGACTGCCGACTGGACCGGGACTTCAGGAAGGCGATCAAAGAGATCGCGGCCTCCGGCGACAGCGACCAGGCGAGGCGTGGGCCAACGGCCAAGGTCCTTTTGGGACTTTTCTCCCCAAAAAATATAGGGGTTGACTGGGTCCCCCAGCCAGGTGCCAACTTTTTCCGTTTCTTCTTTGGTTAGGAGGGTTCCCCTTCTAAAATAGACTGCAGAAACAAGGGTGCCCTTATTCTATCCTCTCTACTGGAGGACCTAGTTGATTCCGATTCCATTCTTTTCAACCATCATTCTTTTCAATAACCGATCGCTTTTTCCCTAGGATTTTTTTTGTTGGTGGTTTTCTGAAAAGATTCGGATCCCTGGGCTCAGAATGGAAATGGAAGTGTCCGAAAGAAAATTGGCGGAGCACCTTTCAAGGGACACCCAACTTTGAGCCATCGGGGAAGCCATGTTGGAGAAATCCGCACCTTTGGCGAATTGTGAACTAGTTTGCGACTGGGTTGGATCTTCAGCCGCGTATTTTGCTCTGGGGGTAGTCAAAAGTGAAGATGTTTGCGCAAATGCTCACAGCCCAAATTATTCCCTTAAGGGACAATGGGAGGTTGGCGAGGGGGTGCGGGGAGGCTTTGTCCGCATTTCCCCGCCCCACCCTTGCCCTCCTTTTTTGTTGGACTAGGACTTGAGGTCCTTAAGGTCCTTTGGCTAACAAGAAGGTTGGAATAGGCTGGGATCCTGTCGCAGATATGATTATGAATGGCTCACCATGCGTGAACACCGCGTGAACACCCGCGAGGAAGGCTTCTTTTCCTTAGATGTCTTGCTTTCGTTTTGTAAATCATCATGTGTCCAGATTGGTTTCGGGCTTAAATTGAAGTGACTCTCCTTTGGGTGTGGTGTTAGGGGAAATATAAATTGAGCATCATCTTTTTCTGGAGAAAGCCCTCCAAAATGAGACAAACATCCCCCTGACGACACGGACGCCCAGCTTCTTCTTTGTTTAACAGATTCCCTAAAGTCAATCAACAGGTGCCCTTTTTGCCACCACTTTAAACTGAGATAACGCCCACGCGGTCGCCAAAAAACCTTAAACTGATTCATATGTGCCACGGTCAAACGACCACTTTACTTTGATTTGGGTGTAGGGATGGCCATCGACCTAAAAGTGGGGATGTTAGGCAAACATTGTACAGGTGTATATTGAGAGAGCCATGGCCACACGTTTGGCCAAGTTTTGATGATGCGTACCTTATGATATGAAACTGCGTAAAGACGTGATGGGTATCCTAGATTTGGGGTACTTACTCCATGGCCCCGTCAGTTGAGCGTTGGCCAACAACAAGTCCATTCCTGGGTCAGGATCCAGGATCAATCAGCCCCTGGCTGATGAATTTGGTCGTGTTTTGGAGAGTCTTTCTCGTTTTGACCGAGTTGCCCCCCCCCGGCCCTGGCCCAAGCACCCCTCCCCTAACACACCTCTAGGTTGTGGTTTTGTGGAGCGGTGTTTTGGGAGGGGGGGGAGGGGAAAAGGCATGTTATCATGAGAATGAGTGCCAAATTATCAGCGGGACCTCAACGAGTTTGACGGACCCTGATTAGGTCACAGCCAAGCCAGTCAGGTATAAGTCACCCACGAAGCAACTTCAAAATGACATTGGGGGAAGGGGGAGTTAGACACCAAAGTTCCATGTTCAGCAAACATGCTTTCTGTTTTGTGAAGACGAGAGAAGGGAATCTGAGGACGGTGCGAAGGTAGGGGGGATTGGGGATCATAAGACCAAGACACATCACGACGCAAGTGAGGCAAAACACCGTATCGAGACAATCATGCAGCGCCAGCCATCATTTCCCTGGTTTGACTACGGTGTCATAATTTTACGCCACACGTGTTGCTGGCATGGTTTAGGATGACTTCACTGCTAATGATGAATCACCATGAAAGAAACACTTGAATATATGAGCATCATACACCTTCCCGAGCAACAAAATACTGAGATGACCAGCATCATAATATCTGCATGGTACACGTGTGATACAATTCCCACGCATCATGGACCAGATCGCATGTAGGTCATGGGGTTAGCATCTGCCGCGCCACACAAAAGCGACTGCGGGCCTTTGCTCGGAAGCTCGTGAGCCATGATCATTGCTCAAGAGCCTAGAGACTAGGAAGATCACTGAGTTTGAAGAGGAAACCTCAAAAGGTGGTAACCCCCAAGTGTTTCACCACCCCGAACCGAAGCCCCTTTTGAAAGGTTACATGGCGGTTTGTTGGGACATGTGCTGAATATCCAACGTTCCAGGGGAGGCTTTGTTTGTTTGGAGATATATGGTACCCCGCCCCCGTGGATCTACCTTCCTTCAGAATTCGCGGGTAGGAATGGTAGGTGCAGTGTTTTCTTCCTTTTTTTGGGCTTTGGGGAAAACATACATATATATACATATGCACACATCTATGTATGGCTCAAAATTTGAGTTATGACCCAAAGGGTACGACTCCCCTGCCCTTGAAGGACCCCCCCGAACGTGCGGGCGCTCCAAGGTGCCACCGGAATTGGCCTGGTGGGGCGACAAGAAAGAGAACGAGGACGTCAATCAGGGGCCTGGTTACTTCCATTTGCTGAAAGGGATATTTGTTGTTCTCCCTGGGTGGTTTTAAAGGGAATCTATCACTTCTGGAAATATTGTCAAGAAAGATTAGAGGGGGTTTGGGGCCATCCGGTTTTGTTATTCAAAACCCAGATGTGTGATTTGAGCGGAACATCGTAGTCCAGAGGCGCACAGCTCAGGCGGAAAATATCCTTTGGTTGGGCGTATCTCAGGGATTCTGACGAATATGGTCCTCCAGAATCCGCAGCCTTGTTGTTTTCGCGGGACATTGGGGTTGAGCAACGCAACCCAGTTGAGCAAAACAAGTAGCATCACCATGTTGGTGTATCAAGACCATTGACACTCGAATGGGATTGAAGGGGCCCATAGTTTGACACACAATAGTAGTCAGTCACGCCGCTTACAGGTAGTTTTTTGTCGGTACCATGTTTTTTCAGAGTATCTCAACTTTGGTTTGGTCTGTTCCACAGTACCAGACTCGTCACACTGTCACACTCCTCCAACTAGCTTGGAATTCTCCATCCCGGTGACCAAATCCACTTGATTGTGATTGTCTATTTTGGAGATTGATGTTGAAAGGCTTTGGGTCATGCTTGCCTACCCTTTTTCCAACAATCATGAAAGTGGACAGGGGGTTCCCCACAAGGAAGGTACTCTCTCCTGTCAGCTTCTGTGATTGTACCTTTTCTTTGGCTTCTGGACCAGGCGTCAATCCGTTCTGCCTGATGATTGCTATGTTTTCCTACGGAAGCAATCACATGAAACGCAAATCATGATCAGTTGCCGGCGTGTTCACTGGTCTTACCCGCAACATTGGCTCGTCTCAAACTATGGCTACCCAGATTATCTCATGAGCGGTTTCCCGTTGGTATCCCTTTGACACGACATGAATGGTGGCCGGATTGAAAACTACGCACGCTAGCTTGCAGGCGCAACAAAAGACCTTAAAGGGTGAGATCATTTTGAAGGGGACCTCGAAAGCGGTTTGGCGCCCCTTGATAAGTTTAGCTTCAATTTCTCTTTTGCTCCGATGTGTTTTCCCAGCTCGCCCCTTGTTGTAGTTCGCCATCTTACTCTAGCCAGAGTTGTTGTTGTAGTTGTTTTTGTGGTTTTAAGCCTCACTTCGTACTTAGTACCCTTAGGTTTGACCGTTATGTGGCCCTTCAGCATTTTGAACAACGGCGGAACAATTTCAACCGTGACGCCAGTTTTGCCACAATAGTACTACCAGACAGAAGAGGTCAACATTTTGCACTCCCTGTGAAACCACATGTTTGCCACTCCAGAGAGTAAACTCCCTCTGCAGTCATGTACAAGGGACTGCTAGCTGTCCTCACTCTCCCCCGCCCCCTAAGCAGACGTTCGGACGACACGTCTGACGAGCCCGCAGAAAACTCGGCAGCGGATGCCAGTTGCCGCTGTAGTTTTAGTTTCCGGCTAGTTTTGTTCTTTCAGCTTCTGGCGTGATGGTTGTTCCTTTAGCGAAAAAATCGCCACAGCAAAAAAGGTAGACGTGACATCACGAGCGTACAGCCCACGGGACTTCCGGATCTCACGATTCCAGGATCCGGGAAGTGTTGAGGCCAGCGGCGAGAGATCGAATCGGCGTGAGAGATCGACCCGACGAAACTTGTGGATTTACCTGCTAGGCTTCAGTGGTGCCCTTTTGCCTTTTTTTGGAGTTCCCCTACTAAAATAGACTACAGAAAAAGGGTACCCTTCTTTAAGCTCTATACTGGAGGACCCTAGCTGGTGGCTGCAACTGGGCCGTCTTCGGGTTTTCGAGCGGAAGTCTCCAGGACGTCAGCATGGGGATTCTCCGGCGCCAAGCGTTTGTTGCCTAGCTGGTGGTTGGAAGGGAGCCGTTCCGGAGCCGGGGTATCCAACATTTTCCTGCCAGAGCCTGATTAGTACTATGGATGGACACAATTGCACCAGTTGGATTTGGTGTTCTATCCGGGAGTATTTATCCACAGAAAGTTCAACTCTCCCAAAAGTGAAGGCTTCCCCGACTGGGACACCCCTCGATCAAAATTAGCCAGTGCTTATGAATGCGGGGGTCCAGAAATTCGGATCAAATACCTCCAGGGATGCCTGCTGGTTCAGTTGGTTTGGTTTCAAAGGCCTCTCATTTTGACCAGGTTAGGGCTTTTTCGAGCATGACTACTCGCAATTGGAAACGCGTATGCCCCCCAAAATCAAGAAGTGTGTTATTGAGTCCCCTTTGGCATGCCAAACATGTCCCGTGTCAAAAGAACAACCCTGGAATGTGTCGGTGAAGGCTTGCCTTTGCGTTCTTCTGTTCTCAAACATATTCAGGGTTGCGGGCCTTTAAGCACTAGGGGGTCGTTTGCTTGACCGTGTCTGGCAAGTAGCAAAGTGAGTAACGTTTCTTTCCGCTTGGGGGTGACTTTGATGGTAAAACACTGAGGCCTCTAAATAAGACCAAACCACGTTTGGGTAGAAAGTTGGCATTGCATCCTTTCGTTTTCATGAGACGTCTCCGGGCGTCTCGTGCGGAAGCCACGGCAGTGCTGGGATTCTTTGGGTCTGTTTTCTCAAACTCAGACAGTGACAGAGTGACTTGCCATTTGTCCCGGTCCAGGGTTTCCACGCTGAAATCCGTCAAGACCATGTGGCTGCATGTTTTGTCCCCATCCCCTGGCCGCCAGAAAGGTGTCTGACGGACCAGAAAGGCCTTCCCCCCGGCTCCGAAAGTGCTGGATTCCGGTTGGTTTCCTAGGTCCCCTCAGGATCGTGCCCTTCTTTTACCCTTCCTTTTTTGGCTGGGAGGGTTCCCCTACTAACATAGACAAAACCGAAAAAACGGGGGAAAAACAACGTTGGCACCAACTTATTCTACCTCTACTGGAGGACCTAGGTAAGCACATGGTAGTTTTGGTAAGCACCTGGTGGCACGTGGATTCCGCTTGGTTTCCCCAAGTCGGCGCTTCCGCGAGCTCCGCAATCGCAGGCTTCCACCTGCGAATCCTTCTGGGCGGCTGGGACGGACGGTTCAAAGCGGGGGGAAGGTTCCGGGAACTTGGGTCTGTGTTTTGTGGAGTCGGTGCCGTGTTCAGGTTGGTTTGAAACGGACACCAAAAGGACGAGCATCCTTTTTGTTGGGTTCCCCGCAATTATGTTATTTTGGGGAGATGCCCACTTTTCTACGCCTTGCACCCCAAGAAAATGGAAACAACCTCAAGCATCCCTGGGAGCGTCATGAGACGCTCACTTCCCAAAAAACCTGGAGGCAGCGGTATGACTTCTCGAAAGCGGACCAGTGTTGGGGCGCTTACTGCCCATGCCTTCTTTTGAGTTGCTACGCCTTTATCTGGGTTGGTTCAAGGGGCGACCAATCGAGAAACCCAAGCCCATTTCAGAGTTTCCATGAGACAAACATCTTCAAACACTATTCCCAGCTGGTCCCAGGTACCCTAGGTCCCCCAGTAGTGCCCTTTTACCCTTTTTTTTGGGCCCCTACTAAAATAGACTACAGAAAAAAGTGAACCCTAACCATTCCCAGCCGGTCCCAGTGACCATTATATGGGGCAAGCAGCCAATTTCCTTCCACTGAAAGGTCGGTTCATCGGTTCCTGGGGCGCGATCTATTGGAACGACTGGCATACTTGTGAAAGACTCGCTTCCAGGACCGCTCTCCGCAGCGGAAAAAACGGTTTGTGTGACTGCCCACTGGGACTGGAACATTCAAGGCCTGTTCGCCTTCTTTGCCACAAGCGAAGGCCAATTGATTCCGTTTTGAACGGGGGGGTCTTTGAATGGTGCTTTTTGTTGGTATCCAATTTGGGATTGCTTTCAAGGGAAACCAAATGAGCAGCATGGATTTGGAGACACATGCAGGTTCTGAATTGGGGATGAGAAAGATCCTTGGGATCTCACAGGAGATTCGGGCTACCATGAAAAACTATATGAAAAGTGGAGCTTGCAAGGGATCAACGAAGGACCTGAGGATCCAATTCATGTTTGGGGGGTTTTGGATCGGAGGGACGGGTCCGTCGGGGCTTGGTCGGGGTCCGTCTCACGAGTCACTCCCCAAGTTGGTGAAGGTAGGCCCAGGTCCCGCGCGGCGCACAGGACCCAGATAGATCGAAGGGTTCTGTTGGTCCCCCAAAAAGGGAGAGGGAGGGGGGTCAACGTGGCCCTTTTCAGATTTCGGACATCGGTTTGTCTACCAGTCTCCAGGACTTAGCTGGACTCCAGCGAAGCGCGGATCTTTTTTAAAACTTGATTCTCACTTCTCAAGTTTCTGCACGTTATACTTTTGGGAAGGCTAGTTGATTGGCAAGCTCAAGGTTGGAGGGTTTTGCCAACCTCAGGAAGTGAGGCTTTGGATCGCACGCGGGGCACCCCCCGCGTCTAAGGAGGAATTCCCGAACGATGCGCAGGTCCTGCTGGAAGTGGAGCTAAGCGCCTTGGGCCTTGAAGGTGTCAAGCGTCAACAAATAGCTTGGCATGTCCCGCCATGGGATGACCGGTGGTTGGACAACCCACCAAACATATTTGATATGTCCAACGAAAAACGGGGAAAGGTCACCCATGGTCAAAGCTGAGGCGTCCCACTGAAAGTTGAAGCTTTAGAAATAGGTGTTTTGGATTAAGTTATGCAGTCTGTCGATTTGGGAACGGGGGACGAGCCTGCAAATTGCAGCCACAAAAGCCAAACGCGGAACCATAATTTGGGCAGCTGCCATATGTTGACTGGCTCGTAAGAGCAGCGTGCAATACTACCGATAGTCCACTCTGGTTTTTGGCTGTCCCAAGTTTCCTACGGGGGCGGCCTATTGCCCCATGCCGTTTGATTGGGGAAAGGAGTAATTTTGTCCTGGGCTCACATCCAGTGTGTGCCCAAATCGCGCCTATATGTGTGATTGGGGCCATGAGGGGTGCACTCTCAGCTCAGTAATTGACAACAGCTCCTGGTTTTGCAGAACCATGTCTCCTTTGTGTAAATGCATCCGTCAGTGAAGAAATCATATTTGAGTGGCCTGTTTACCAATTCAGACAGTTTTCGAAAGCTGCCCTTTTGTCTACTTTCATGATTGGACATAGGGTAGTGTTGGTTTTACCTTTTCCTCTTGGCTTGCCCGAAGGATGATCTTCAACCCCTTAAGGACTTTTGGTATCCGTGGTACGAATTCCGACTAAGAGATTCATGACCATAATGACCCGAAAAGAAGTTTTGACCATGTTACACACGTGTATTCATTCTTCAATCTAACCATATCTAACCTCTGAATCGGTCCGCAATTTGTGGGGATACCTGCATGTCCCTCATTGCATGATCAAAGAAGCCAGCTGCGACACTACAAGAGGTGCACAAAGTTTCAGCCACATTTTTGGAGCCCTCCTACCCCCCCCCCCCCCCACGGTTCTCAGAACTCTGAGCCTTGCTTGGTCGTTTGCTCGGATTGTTGGCTTCGAACTTTGCCGGTTCCGATCGCTTGCTCCGTTTTTGTTTTTGTTTTTCCTCATCCGGTATCGGAGACCACTTGGGACCGTGAAGCGGTCGCAAGAGAGCGGCCTCTTGTCTTTTTGTTGTTGGGGGAAGGTGTTCCCTTTATCAACCACAGGGCGGCCTTTTCCTTCTAGGACATCCGTTCTTGACAAAGGCCTTACCTCGATCGGATCCGAAGCCAGTTGCTGTCCCAAGCGAGATTCTCCTCTTCAGGGCCATCTGCTTTCTCTCGAAAGATCATGCCTGGATCGCCAGTTGCTGCTTTTTTCCATCCACTTTAACCCAAAAACCAGAACAGCGACTGAACAAAACGAGCGACTTGGCTATCTAGGTGCTTACTTTAAGACGTGCTATTCTGGGGGAAAAAAAAAACAAGACAACGGACCCCCCTGTTCTCCTTATGGGATTTTGTTGGGTTGCCCCTGACAGCTGTGCTTTTGGGGGGCGATCATAAGCTCGGCTGCTGTTTGGTTCAACCTATGGTCTTTGATTTCTCAAAAGGGCGTTGGTTCCAACCAACCAAACTTCCCTGACTGCCAGCTCACTCTGCTCAATCAAGGCCGCGCAGTTTCCAGCCCACAACAAGGTTTTCCGGGGTAGACTTAGGATACATTTTTCATTTTAGTGACTCCATGTGAAGCAAACAATCACATGTACATTCTGTAGCTGGGCGGAACTCTAATCATGTTTTGTTCCCTTTGCGTTTGCCTTGTTTCCAAATGGATTGGGTGGTCGGACACCATCGCCAGCTCGCACCCCGAGCTCAGGGGACTCAATGCCCGTGACAGAGGCGTGTGGTTCGCCGAAATGGCCGGGATATCTGAAATGATGTTGGAGTTGTTTAAGGTTCAGAAGAAAAGGTCCGGCCTCAAACATGCTAGGTCCACCAGTAGTGCCCTTTTACCCACTTGTTTGGGGCAGGGTTCCCCTACTAAAACCGAAAAAAACAAAAGAAAAGAAACGGGCACCAACTTATTCTCACCTCCCCACTGGAGGACCTAGCATATGTTGCATAGGGGGGGTCCACTCATAGAGCAAGCTGATCACAGCTCGTTGGGCCGGCTCTCGAGAACTTGGCCGGGCTCCCGAACATCCGCTCGCCCCAAAATGAGCCCCGAGTGAGGACGCGGGCCAACTTGGAAGCCAATCACCTCCGTTTGCTTAAGGTGGTTTTTCCTTAAAAAAAAAACTTGTTGGTTCTAAAAATAATTCATAAATTCTGGACATGTGTTTTTCCCGAAGTCTTAAAACCAAATGGAAGAATCATCTCAGCGTGGTTTCCCTTACCAAACGGATCCAAAAGCCGAAGCTCAGCCTCTGGACCACCTGGACCAGCTGGGATTGCGCGAAAGCCAGCACATGTGTTTGCATTACAAATGAGTACGCGCGAACTTCTTTACGAGACATATTGTAACGGTCCATGTTTGTAGCTATAAAGGCGGGGTGATCAGAAGGTCCTTTTCATGGGATGACCGTTGGGGAACACCACTAAAAATATGATATGTCCAACTAAATGGGAAAAGTTACCATGGTCATTTGGGGGCCAATAATATTGATCATCCCCTATATATATATATGTGTGTGTCTGCATATGTGTCTGTATGTATATACATACACCTCGACTATGAGATCATCACTTATTTTGCAAAAGAAAAACACATATCGTCTTTATGAAAAGTTTAGAACTTTAGGTGTGGTTTTTTAGCACCATGCCCCCTGATTGAACTGTTTGTGTTCCAAGGAAAGTTTGCAGGCTTATGCTTTGCTTTTCGAACTTTCGAACAGGTTTGAACAGCTCCGGGAGCTTGACATCAGCTTTCCTTTTGGGTGCGACGTTTCCTTTGGGTGTGGGGTGGACATATTCTTGAGATAGTTGCTCCCAACTGTACTTTTAATCCGGGAATGGAACCGGTCTCTGGATGATGCCTTCTATTGGCTAGCCTTTGACACCGGTCCATGGCGCCCAAATGGCTGACAAACATATTGGCTACGTTTGGTGTGGGGAGGGATACAACCCAATATCCCAATGTCTTAGTGTTGTATTGTCACCCACAGAAGCACAAGTATGTGAAAGTCGCCAACGAGTCAGCTCAAGTAGCAAGCCATGATCGGAGCCATATCAGACTGCATATCCGGGAATGTAGAGCCATGTGGAAAGCACAAAGACATGCTAATTGACGGTCCGGAGTTTATTTTTTTCCGCGGTTGGTGGACATACCCTTCCACCAAGTAACATGGAACCAGACATTCGGGGGTCCTGGAAGACCATTTTCCTTTTAAAGGGACCCCCTGTCAGGTACCGTATGTAAATAAATAATATATATATATATATATATACACATATATATACATATAAATTATACATATATATATAAAAATATATGTATTATACATATATATATGTACACATTATACGTACATATATTAAATATGTGTATGTATGTATAGATTATTATATACCCCCCAACAGCCATGTTGATAAAATCGAACGTCTCTGGGTTCACTTCTCCTCATTTCCCACGATGGCCGGCGGCTTCAGGTTCGATAGGTCCAGATCGGCGCCGGAGTGCGCGAATTTTCGAGTTCCGGAAGGGCGGGGCTTGATGGGCATGCATTTTGTTTCTTCTCAAATTGACGGGGGTTCATTTTGGTTGTTACTTTGGCGGGGTTCATTTTGATTGTGACTTTGGTGGGGTGCATGTCAAAATCGATCTCACGAAGTTGGGAATGTTATTTTGTGGGCGGCTAGGTGAAGCTGCTCGTGCCACAGACTGCTTCATTTCTCCACGAGTACTTTGTAGAGGCGCGCCGGAGGATGTCAAGGTCCCAGTATTTTCGATATGGCCGTGGCTCAAAACCAATGGGATCCCATTTTGGGGTAGGTCATCATTTGCCCCGATGGTTGTGGAACGTTGGGTTTTAGGGCCAGCTTTTTGTGATACCAATGAAAGGCTCTTTGGAATGATAAAGTAGTCGTGGGAATGAACCACAGAAATGTTTATTTTGCGCCATGAGGACAAACGGGTGGTTTCCCTTTGGTTTCCCTCAAAGCAGGCCAATAGAAGGGTTTTTTTGCTTGGAGCCGAGGAGCTACAGTACCATGAGTTCCGCAAATGGTAGTTTGCTTGCTTGTTCCCAGCCATCTGGTTTCTTAGCTTTCTAGCTTTAGGGTTTAGTGACTGTGGGGTTTAACCCATTAAAAGGTAGACTGTTCGCCGGGCCTTTTTAGCTTTTCAGGGTTGGGGTTTCCATTCAGCCCACAAGGTCGACCTTTCAGCAGGGGATCGGAAACCGGACAGCCCAGTTTGGATCACGTAGGGCGTTGGCCTTTTTTTTTTTGCAGCGGTTGGAAGGGGGCCGCGTGCGCGCCGCGAGTTTTCTTTTTGTGCTACGTTGATTTGACACAAGCAAGTCCGCGAGAAGAGGGCCCCCGTTTTGCGTCACAAGCAAGCACACAAACAACAAAACAGCAACAAGCAACAATCAAGCAAATGCAAACAAACGAACAAACAAACAAAATCAAACAAACAAACAAAACAAACAAACAAAACACACAAACAAAACACACAAACACACAAACAATCAAACAAACAAGCAACCAAGCAAAACAAAAACACAAGAAACGAGCAAACAAACAACAAAAAAAAAAGCACGAAGAAACAAACAAACAAACAAAATCGAGCAAACAAACAAGCAACCAAGCAAAAAAAAACACATAACACCCGAAAACGCGTACTCAAGCGCACACGCCCACGCGCGCGCGGACACACTCACGCACAGCGCACAGCGCAGAGCCCAGAGCTCACAGTGCACACTGCACAACGCCCAACGCACATCGCACAACACAACACACACACACACATACGACACAACAAGACACACCACACCAGCACATGCAACACCCCACAAAACACACAACACAACACACAACAACACAACACACAACACGCGCCACACGACACGCAACACACAGCACACACACACACACCACACACACACATACACCACACAACACGAGACAACACACAACACCACACAACACCACACAACACCACACCACACCACACCACACAACACAACACAACACAACACAACACAACACAACACACCATACAACAGACACACAACACACGCACACAACACCCCACAAAACACACACAACACAACACACAACAACACAACACACAACAACACAACACACAACACACAACACGCGCCACACGACACGCAACACACAGCACACACACACACACCACACACATACACCACACAACACGAGACAACATACAACACCACACAACACCACACAACACCACACCACACCACACCACACAACACAACACAACACAACACAACACAACACACCATACAACAGACACACAACACACGCACACAACAAACACAAGACACACACACAACACACACACACAACGCACACACACACACAACACACACACACACACGACACATAGACACACACACACACACACTTTCACAGACAGACTTAGACTCCCACACTCTTACACAATTTCACACACACTTACACGCACTTACACACACACTTACACGCACTTACACACTTTCACACACTTTCACACACTTACACACGCTTACAGACTTTCACACGCTTACACTTACACACACACTCACACAAACTTACACACACACACACACACTTTCACACACACACACACACGCGCACAGACTTACGGTGAGAGTAAGAACAGGCTGCGGCTCCGTTTGTAAGCTGTCATCCTATTTGTTTTCTTTTCTTTCTTTTTTTTCCTGGGGAGGGGTACCCTTCTCCTTTCCCCTGACTCCGTCCCCCTCCCTGTCCGCCTTGTCCTTGAGCACGAGGCTGCCTGGAACTCGAGCCGAGCTTTTCCCGGTCTGTTTAACCATTTGTTTATTGGTTTTTTGATATGGGGGGACCGACCCGTTTGTTTAATATTAGGGGGACAAGAAATTAGTCACTGGTAAACCCTCTAAGAAGGTTGGGTATTTGGAGTGTGACAACTTCCAGAGCATCCACCTCGGTTCTATTTAGGTACAGCCCCTAAATGACCCCTGATTGGTTTCGCAAATAGGTTGTACCAATGGGAGGGAAGCAACAATCCAACGGCTGATTCACAGCGGTTTTGCAAGGGGATGGGAAGTTTGTGGCCTCTAGTGGTCACATGATTTGTCCTTCGTCCTTACTGGCTGCCACAGCTCTATGGCCCCTGTGGGTGTGGGTCAAAAAATCAACCACCAGGTATTGGACCGCGGGTCTCTTAGTGCATGTTTACCAGGGCAACTCATGTTGGGGTTGCCTCACTTCCTGAGTTCATGCACTCTAAACTTTTTGGGAAGACCGTTTTGGTGGTACATATAAAGGTTGGAATTTTTTGGGGCCATCCACTCAGCCAGTGAGTTGCCCTAATTTTTGGCCCCGCAGCCATAAACCTGGCACCTGAGGATTGGGAAGGTTTCCGGAACTGGCTTGAGCCGGAGGCCAGCGTCGCGCTCTTTCTCGCCTCTTTTTTCCGCCTTGCGTGCTTGGTCTCAGGTGCGAACCAGGCCCAAAATGGGCAAAACTTTTCGTCTTTATCGTTTTTGTTTATTTTGGTTACTGCAGGTGTGGGTGTGGTATTGTTTCAGGGAAGATGGACATCCGCTCGTGCGGTAGCTTCTATTTGGTTTCCTTTCAAGCCTCTCCAAAAGGGGTTCATTCAAAAACACACCGAGTACAGAAACTAACAACGTGCGCGCACACACACACACACACCCTCATCCAGATGAGGGGCGGCTGTTTCTGGCCAAAACTCAGGCAATGACATTGATTTGTTTTTCCCAGCTGTTAAGATCTGCTCGTCAGGCACTCTTTGGGGTGGAGTTTAAACTTTTTGAAAAGACAACTTTGGTGGCACAGACACCGGTTCAAACGGTCACTCAGGAAGAGAACTCTATCCCAACTGGTGCAAAACGCTATTTTTTGTCCATCCACAGACAGAGGGAGTTAACATATATTTTGAAATTGAGGTTGGCTGATAGGACCCTCTTGCCGGGTTTGCGCCTTTTCCAGCTTCCTGCAAACTTGGCCTTCCCCAGAACGCACTGCGCAGTTCTTTCCGATGAGACAGGCCAAGCCCCGAGGTTTGAGGTCTGAATCTCATGACTGGCGAGTAGCCAGAGACCGAACACTTGCCTGCCACATCTCTGCGTGTGTTTTTTGAGAGAACCTTTTTGGGTTGGTTTAAGTCAAAACCAGAAGGACAAATGCCATGTTGGGCCCTTGCAATCTTCTGACATGTACCCATTTGAAGCTTCTCGCTGGTAATTTGTTTGTTGTGAGAGGCTCAAACTGGCTTGGCATTCAAGAAGGTCTCAGCGGCTCAACAAAGCTTTTCAGCCTACGGAGCAGGTCATTGTTGCTGGATAAGGGGTCCATCTCTATAGCGCTCGAAACGGGATGGGGTATGTTTTTGGCATCTCCTGACCCATCGTTTTAAAGAGAAAAGCCACGGACGTTTACCTGGCATACCCCCTTTTGTAAACTATAGGTAACTCGGGCAGCTGCTTGGAAGGGTGAGATATCTAAGAGATACGAGAACGACCAACGTTCGAGAAGACCAGGCCGGGTGGATACTTGGCGCTACGGTCTACATTAGCCTTTGGACCAATGTTCCCCCCTTGCCGCCTTTACAGCAACTCTGCAGTGAAAATGATCATCGTTGTGGGCAGGGTTGTTTTGCAACAACATCCGTTGGCGAGTTTGAAATGGAGGCGGCCTGGGTTGGTGCTCCAAACATTGACCCAGACCCACCTGTGAGAAAATGATCCATGGGTTCCTTCTGGTTGGGTTGGGACGCATGCCCTCAAACCAAAGGGTCTGTGGTTCAGGGACCCAAGCAAAGTCACGCGGTGTCAACCGTTTTGTTTCCCTGTGTAAGGTGAAAGAGTGCTCTCGGGTGATAAACGGAGCCCTCATAAGCCTAATGAGGGGGGCGGAATTTACAAGATCTCTTCCCTTCAAGTTACATCTTGAGGGAGCCGCAAGGAATATAGGGGTTGATCAATATTCCCTTTGGCCCCCCAATGACCAAGGGTTAACTTTTCCCATTTAGTGGGACACATCATCCTTTGAGTGGGTTTCCCAATGGTCCCCGCATGTAAAGAACCTTTTGATCAACCCCGATATGCTTGTCATAGCCGCCGAGATGTCAAGCTCAAAAAGGAAAGCCCCGGACCTTCCGGAACCCTTGAGCTGCCCGGAACCACTGCGATCAAGCCTATCTGGGCAGAGACTCCATAGCATTTCAGCTGTTGGGGAAAAAACTGCCTGGAGTCTCCGTGACCCTCAAATCATGGTAACCCACAATAAAGGGGCCATGGACCCATTTTTAAAGGGTCTCGGAGACTGCTCCATGAGGTGAACAGGGCTGTGCACGGCTCGCAAGTGCAAGATTGTACGTCCTGCCAACTGCGACTGCCTGTGCTTGGCCGCCTGAATGGACGCCTGGCTATGGATTTATAGATTTTGGCACGAGCACTGCTCAGGGGAACCGTTCATGTTGACCCAGGATGAATACACCCCCTGTTTATTAGCATGGGGGGTGTTCCCATGTGTTCGCCTGAAAAAGTGGCTTGAATCCCCCCTAAATCCAGGGACACCCCCATATACATACACAGGGGTTCATTAATCCGGGGTCAACAGTACGCGTTTCGAGGGTTCGAACAATTTCAACAGGTTCCGATTGGTGGCACAGGCCAATTGTTTGTGTGGCATCCGAAAGGAACCCATTTGTTCGAAAGGATCCTGGGAGAACGAGCTCACCGACTCGGCCCTCTGGATTCCTCACCGGTTTACGAATGCTACTTGGTACCCCCATTGGATTTTGCGAACTTCTGCTTCAGAACTGGATACTGATGCTTGTCAACGGACCCAAGAGCCAGCAACCTTTTGCCAGTAGGAGTTGGTTAGATCTGGCCACTGATCTTGATGGATGTTGGACCCTGGCTTTGTGTTAAAACAAAAATCCCCCGGTCGTTTGAAAGGACAAGTTGCGAATCCCCCTACGCTCTCAGCAAGGAAGTCGGAAATTTCACCCCCCGCGCCCTGCGCCGAAGTCTCCCCCCCCCCGGTATGGAGTGTTTGGAGGGGTCGTTCGGTCTCTGACAATTCTCGAGAGGTACCCTGAACCAAATGGTGAATCAACACATGTTCGCTGGTCTTTGACGGCAAGCAACGGTAGATCCATACATGGTTTTCTTTTCTGACTGCCAGCGCGCCGCGCCAAACAACACATTGATACGAATTGTGAAGGTTTCGTTTGGAAATTGTACAGGAGTCCCAACAAAAATGATGTGAGGCGCCTCTTTTTGGGTAGGCTTGTTGCGCTTCCGCGATTTGCGGAGGATTTGTTGAGGGTCCAAACAAGTAAAGACCCTTTCCGCCAGAACTCTTGATTGGAAAGGCGCCCTATTTGAGTTCCTTCGGACAATTTGAAGCCCTGGCAGCCACTTACAACTTGGTCCCTCCTTGAACAAGTATCTTGGGTTCGGGATTTCTATGACCCCACCAAGTCCAAGACATGAAGCCGGTCCACTCACGTCAGATAGGATTCAGCGGTTATACTCCTACATGGAGTATTCCTCCAAATGATATGACACCCATCAGTTTTGGCGGAGTTTCCCTTTGCAATCAACCGAGCAAACTTTTTGCGTAGTGTTTGGGCTCGCTAATTTCTTGGAAAGCCCGTCTAGTGGCAAACACATGCAACATAATTCCTTTTTTTTCGCGGGCTAATCCGCTCAAGTGAGAGTTCAGAGGGCCTTTGTGTACTGGATATTCAGGATGAGGGGTGAGCATGACGCGCTGAGGAGTGGTTCAAGTTGATTGTACAGAAGCAGACGCTCCGAATCCCAGGCTGCAACAAACAACACGGGGGTCCCGAATCGGTCACAAGCGGACGTGTGTCGTTTGAGGGTCCCTATATTCCGTTTGTTTGACGCACCCAAGTTTGGCTAGTTCCCTTGAAAGGGCAGGCAACAAAGAAGGTTGTTCAAATAACTGTCGCTTGAACACGTTGAAAGTTCAGGGGTTAGCCGAAACTGGTCATGGCTTCTGAAGAAAACAACACGTCGGGTTTCAGATGTCCCGTTCCCCGAGCCCAATTGCATCGCGGGCGTGGTACTTTCCTAGCCCAGGGCCCACCCTATGACACCTCAAGATAGGTCCTCAGAAGAGTTTTGCCATTTTGAGGGTCCAGCATCCATCATATTTGTAGGGGAAAAAGGCGCCCCGCAGCCCCGCTCAATGTATATCCAAATCAGAGGGTATGGCATGATCGTTATATCCAGTTGTTCTGTGATGTTCTGGGGCAGCCCCCTTGAGCCCTTTTGACACGACAAGGTCATGGTTGGTTGGGGGTCTCGCACACAAAGGGTATCCATTTGTTCCACAACCAGGAAGCCGCTTTTTTGGGGGGCGGTACCGGCAGGGAGCAACTTCGAAGCTGGTTGGGGTCATAAACTTTGGGCAACTCAATAGATAAGGTTCTGTTTCTCATCCCCAGTGTGGTTCCAGGAAATTTGTCTTCAACATCTATTCAAGTTCGTTTTTGAGGTCCTTCAGTGGTTGGTGACGGGTGTTTGGAGCCGGACAATCAATTCTAAGGGCGTTTGCAACCAAGGGGTTGACTTGGAGAACACGGTGAGGAGATTCCATGGGAACCATGAATCAACACTTTTTTGGAGGGAACAAGAAGGCCTTTCTCAGTGCCAAGTCGGGCAATCCTGTGGGGCTACACTGGTGTGCTAGTGTCCAACCACAAATCCGTATGGGACTTCCAGAAATTTGATCGATAAGTGCAACCCATTACAAGGGGAAGACGCACCACTTCACGGAAGGTTGCACGCCCCTATGTCAACCCCCTAGATATTTACCATGGGAAACCAGTTTGTCCAAAAAATACCGACCAACACAACATACCAGCTCCCTTGTAAATCACTTTGTTCAAAAGTATGCCGACTAAAATATTCATACTAGTACACAACAACAACAACAACAACAACAACAACAACAACAACAACAACAACAACAACAACAACAACAACAACAACAACAACAACAACAACAACAACAACAACAACAACAACAACGACAACAACAACAACAACAACAACAACAACAACAACAACAGCAACAGCAACAGCAACAGCAACAGCAACAGCAACAGCAACAGCAAAAACAACAGCAACTGCAACAGCAACAGCAACAGCAATAGCAATAGCAATAGCAATAGCAACAGCAACAGCA